TAAAAAAAAAAAAAAAAAAAAACGAAGCATATAACAGAACCATACAAGCGTCCGGTCGGATGCAGGGGCACATCTTCACATATGCATGTTTCTCCTTCTCCGCCATAAGGGTTGATGAGGAGAGTCATGTTCCTGTTCCTGTTCATTCTGCGCAGTTTTTTTTTCCTTCTTCTTGGTGCTTGAATTTCACACAACGGAGGCACCTGTTTTTTTTTTTTTTTTCCTTTCCGAGCGCTCGATGATCTATTCCACTTTGCGCCCTCTGGGATAGAAGCTCTTCCCTTTAGCTCATTTGGGCCATTTCAGTGCACCCCTCCCCCCGGAATCTCGCTGTGGGATGGTTTGGCCATGTGGTAGTTATTCCTCTCATTAGCTTCCCTTATTGGGAAATTTCTCCTCCCTTTTGTGAGAGACGATTATTCATGAGGAACCACACAAATTGGTCGAAGGTGAGAGGCGATCGGTTCACAGATCGGGGAGGCAACTTCCACTTGGGGAAGCATACAGGTCATGAAGGGACATTCTTATATGTGTGTCATTTGGATCGAATTGCCAAACTAAGGGGGGAAGTCCAAAGGGGATTAAGACCCCATAAGGTGGAACAAATCCCCTCGCGTTACTTTAAGGGGTTCCTTTTTTTTTTTTTTTTTTTTGGGGTCTCACTCTGTCGCCCAGGCTGGAGTGCAGTGGTGTGATCTCAGCTCACTGCAAACTTGGCCTCAGGAAGGTGGGACCAGTTGTGGTTCCTGCTCAGCGGCGGGTGTTGTTTTTCCACTTCGAAATGGTCAAGGGGAGGGGAAGAGAAGGTACGTAGGGCTGTCTTAAGTAAGACCAACAGAAAGGGGTGCGGTCAACAGGACATGCACATGAACATGCGCGTGGGGGATTGGCAATATCGCATTTTACTTTAGTTTTTTTTTTTTTTTTTTATTGCTTTTTCCTGAGAGGCAGTTGAAAGAAATGTTCATTGCAGCGGAGTTGTTTTTCCTCCGTGTTGACGACGCGCGGGGCGGAAATTCAGGTCAAATGAACAGGGACAGCGGTGTGTAACGTCCTCTTTGGGGAGCCAGACAGTTATAACTTTTGTCACTCTTTTGTTGGCGATGAAAAGGATTGTGTGGGGGAAAAATAAGAAGCAAAATCTTTTACTCGTCCTTCTGGGAAAGCGGACCGACCGTTGCCCGGGCGTGCCTTTCACGTCTTTTCACGTCCTCCCGCTTTTGATCGCCTTTTTTTGGCTTCCTCTGGGCGGTTGTCCGTCTTAAAAGTTTCCCCTCCATTTCGTACGCAGTGAGTCTGTCATTTGGCTCCAGGGCTGTGGCACAGTTTGCAGAAGTTAATAATCTCGGGGGGAAGTCACTTCATCTGCGTGGCTGTTTGTTCCCCCTTTGGTAATCCCCCCTCTTGTGATCACCCTTTTTTTTTTTTTTTTTTCCTTTTTCGCCTTTGCGCTGTACCTCCCAGTTGGGACAGGGCAAAGGGAACACAGTAGTATAGTTGCGCATTTTCCACATTCGCCGCCTCTGCCGAATAAAATTATTAACGTAATAGGGGACATGCGTGCTCGAAGAGGAGAGGGTATGTACAGATATGTGTGCTTCCCACTGGGTGTAATTAGCTCTTTTTTTTTTTTTTCAGAGTCGCAAAAAAAAAAAAAAAACATTCAGCTGGTTGGCTCATTACACTGATCCCTTACCTTTCATTACCCTCTGCGTTGATTTAATGCGCCCATCTCGCCATCCTGTGTGACTTTTCCATCCCTTGTTCCTTCTCCATCTTCTGCTCGCGTCCATCCTTTACTGAGCTCCCAGTTGGCAAACCAGTTGAGATATCACCCCAGCTGTGTTCACTTTTCTCCTTTTTGCTCGCCCCCCTTTGGTGTTTCACGTTTGTCGAAGTTTCCTCTTGTTCACACGTTTGTGCTTTTTACACGTTTGTGCTTTTTACACGTTTGTGCTTTTTACACGTTTGTGCTTTTTACACGTTTGCGCTTTTTACACGTTTGCGCTTTTTACACGTTTGTGCTTTTGATACGCCTTCCCTGTTCTTTGCCTGACTCTGCCCTTTGTTTTTCCCCTTTTCCTCACTCTGCGTCGTACTCGCCTCGCATTTTCGGCACTGCACGAAATTTAAAAAAAAAACGAGCAGGGAAGAATGGGGGAAGAATACTCATGGGACAGCTATTTGAACGATCGACTGTTGGCCACGAACCAGGTGTCGGCTGCGGGATTGGCCTCGGTAAGGCGAGATGATTAGCAGTCTGATCAGAAGTCTGATTAACAGTCTGATTAGCAGTCTGATTAGCAGTCTGATTAGCAGTCTGATTAGCAGTGTGATGAGCAGCAATTGTGAGAGCGCACGATTCGGTGTGAGTTCCACAGCTGCTCTCGTATCGGATGTGTGAGATCCGCGCGCCTCCCCGGGCAGTTGCCAAAAAGAGGAAGCAGGCTACACAGTGTAAACGTGTGAACATATACGCATGCTTATTTACACCTGTGCGAGGGAGCGTGTCCGTGGTACGATGTATGACTGAGCCCCTTGGCGTAACCCCCCCCGTCTCGTTTACCCCCCGCAGGAGGAAGACGGAGTTGTGTACGCTTGCGTGGCGCAAGAAGATGAAAACAACCCCGATTTTGATAAGTGGACCCTCTTCTACAAGGAGGACTACGAGATTGAGGTGGAGGATGAGGTAGGCAAACGGGGAGTCATATATGGCTCTCCCCACAGAGGGGTGTGTATGAATGCGATGTGCTAAAACATAGAGCAGTTGCGTCATATGAGGAGTACGCGGTGGCGCAAATGGTGCACAAATCACTTACGTGTCAGAGACTGCATTCGTGTGCCGATTCTAGTATGCTTCACCAACGTGGCGATTATACTATGCTTCACCTGCGTGGCGTGCCCTCTTCCCCTCAGGATGGAACCAAAAGCAAAAAAACGATTAACGAAGGACAGACGCTTCTGACCGTCTTCAAGGAGGGCTGGGCACCCGACGGAGTCTGGCTAGGAGGAACCAAGTACCAGTTTATAAACATCGAGAGGGATCTGGAATTCGAAGGCTACACCTTCGATGTGGCGACGTGCGCGAAGCTGAAGGGCGGGCTCCACCTGATTAAAGTCCCCGGGGGGAATATCCTCGTTGTGCTTTACGACGAGGAGAAGGAGCATGACCGAGGTAGGATGCGCACCGGGGCGATTGAGCAGGAGAGCGGTTTAGCAGGAGAGCGGTTCAGCAGGCGAGCGGTTGAGCTGCCCAGAGGAGTGACAACCCACTTCACCGGTGCAGTGGGCACAGCTTCCCTTCGGTCACTCACCTCGCCACGTATCACATGACGCACTACACCACGCGCTACACCACACCCCGCACACCTTCTCCCTTACGCTGCACCTTCCATCCCCGCAGGAAACTCCAAAGTTGCCGCCCTGACCTTTTCGAAGGAGTTGGCGGAGAGCGGCGGTCAGTAGTGGGAAGAACCCAGTTGGTCAAGCAGGAGGGTCCCGCAACAAGAGCGTCAACCAGTAGGAACGCCCAGGAGGAGGAGAGACCCTATGCAGTGAGGCTCAGGCTCAGTTCGCAGATGATTCATGTGTACAAAAGGAACCTTGCGGGGTCAATGTTTGACACATGCCCCCTTCTCGCCACGATGATGGCGAGATACTCCACTGAGTTTTAATCAGACGGGTTCGGATAGTGAGCAGCAGGATTGCTTGGCACCTGTTTTGCTCCCCGTTTTTTCGCCTTTTTTTTTCGCCTTCTTTTTTGGCACTCTTTTCCTTTTCGCCGCTCGACACCTCCAACCAGACATTGCTTTACAATTCAATGCACGTTTCATTTTTACGGAACTTGGTGATGGGAGGAGGGGGGAAGGGTAACAGTGCCCCGATCGGAGGAGCGTTTTAAGTTGGACCTGTTTATTGGGCGGGGAAGAGGGGGGACCCAAAAGGGCATGCAAAAAAGAAAAAAAAACACGGCGTAGAATCTCAGGGTAAGATCGCAGGGTAAGATCGCAGGGTAGCATAGCACGGTAACATCGCAGGGCAACATCGCAGGGTAACATCCCACGGTGGAAACATCCAGGCGGGGGGGGTTCCTCCCAGTGGCGCTACCCATCGGGGACGCAGGAGGCGTGCACGTGACTGTAGTAGCTGTAGAAGGCTAAGATGCCCTTCACCAAGTAGTACACATCCCGCACAGCGGCTATCTCCCTTATCGAATGCATGGCTAGCTGAGGAATGCCAATGTCAATACCCGGCATGGAAAGGTTCGAAGCAACCATAGAACCAACGGTACTACCACAGGGGGTATCATTCTTCACCATAAAGTTCTGGTATTTTATTTTCTCATTGTAGTTGGAAGCAAACAATTCGAAGGTCCTCTTTAGTAAGCAGGTGTAGTAAGGCGAGGTGACGTAGTTTTTATTGGTATTATATTTGATGGCAATTCCTTCGTGAAAAAATAACTGGTGGTCTGTCTGCACCGTTTCTGGATAATTGGGGTGACTACAGTGTGCCATGTCGACATTAAGAAGGAGTGACCTGTTCATGAGACTCCCATACAGCTCGTCAATAGAGGGAGGAGAACAGGGGGGGGTGGTCTCTCCTACCTGGGATGAGCAGATGGCAGTTAGAATTCGTTTGATAAAATTTTGCGTAAAGTAGGACTGCGCGCCGACTTCGCTGAGAGAGCCTATTTCTTCGTGATCGTAACCGATGCAGATGTACAGGTTTTCGTGTGCCCCAGGGGGGAGGATTGCTGAGGAGGGAGAAGAAACAGAGGCTATTGCTGGGGCTGCTGACCCCTTTAGAATGTCTATCATCTCCGCGAACGCCTCAAAGACGCAATAGGAACCTAAGAGATTATCAAATCTCGCCCCTTCGATGAACTCTTCGTACGCCCCGGTGAAGCAGGGCTGATTTACATCCATTAAGCATAACTCGAAATCGAGGATGTCTTTCTCCTGGCACTGCAATTCTTTAGCCAGTGTGTAGAGGAGTGGGGACGAGTTAGGGTTTTCCTGGTGGGAGTGGCAGCTGGGGGAGGCATCATCTGTGTGGAGACGCTTCTCCGGTACTTTCTGCGCGTCAACAGCGTCTTCCATAGGGAAATTCCCGCCCCGCTTCTGCTCCCCCTTCACTAACTGATCATACAGGACGGTGGACAGAATCGGCTTCAAATGACTTTCGTAATTTACCTTGACTGAAAATTCAAACCTGGTCCTGCTCTGCAGGTGGATGGCAAGGCTGGGAAGGAACAAGACAGATCTGTTAATCTGGATCAGTTTCTCCACGAGTTTGTCGTCTTTCTTGTATACTACCTGACCAGACAAGCCTAAGCTTCGATCGAACCATGTGTGCCATAATCCGGATCCGTAGCACTCCACGTTTAATTGATTTAACTTACTCTTAACAGTGTTGTTGTTTGGAGATATCTTCAAACAGCAGGAGTCGATATGACCAATCGAGATGAGAATGGAGCCTTTTTCAATGTTAAAATCCTTCCCAATGAAGAAGCCACATATGTTTCGGCTCTGCTTACTGAATACGTAGCCTTCATTTTTTCGTAGGTCCCATTTTTCTCCCTCTTGGATTCTCTTGAATCCCTTTTCCTCTAGCTTCTCGCGTAGGTTTTTGCAGGCCAGGAAGTTGCTTCCGCTCTTTTTTATGAACTTCACGGCTCCCTGCGCGTACTCACGCGCCTTCTTTTCCATGGCGCTGTGCTGCGGTTCGAATGGCGATTCTCCAGCGCCGCCTTCGCAATTTTAGGCGGACCCGTAGCTGGGTAACACAGTAGAGGGGTAAATCTCTAAGTGGGTAGCCTCCGAACTGGGTTGCCTTCCTAACTGGGTAACCCTGTATGTTTCACCAGCTAGAATAAGTGGAAGTGAAATTTCTGAACTGTTCATAACTTTTTCAAAAAAAAAAAAAAAAAGAAAGGAAGGAAAAAAGAAAGGAACAAAGAAACCCCTCTGCGTGGTGGGATTGCCTAAATTGAGAAGCACCTTAGAGGGTGTGAAGCGGGATAAGCTAGGTTGCGGGCAAGCTACTTGGTGATGACCGCTTTGTGATGGTCGTTCCGTCCCGCCCATATTTTTCATGGACTTCCCCAATCGCGAGAGGTCAACCGCTGTCCTGGTCACCGTACCATGCACAGCGTGTATCGCGCAAATACGGCGAGGCTCCGTGTGGTGAGGATCGTTTAGCTGAACCGAATATTCCTCCCCCCACCAAATAATGCACACATAATGGGGAAGTTTAGCGACTAGTTCACGGTGTAACGACTCGTCTCCCTTCACATGACACAAAAAAAAAAAAGAAAAAAAAAAAACAGAGACGAGGCCCCGCAAGTCGACGAGGAGGCACAGGACGCCTCGCACAATGGCCCACTACCAGTTCGACGGGCAAAAATGAGGACGAAAAAAAAAAGATGGAAAAAACAGATGGGAAAGATATTCACTACTGCTCACCAGTGCTCCTCAGTGGGACACCCGTCCCCCGCGGAGGAAACCACTAAATGTCCCTCTCTGTCTCACTCCTCACTGTACCCCCTAGCCCCACCCGTTTTGGAAAATCAATTCTTGTGCAGCATCGACGGAACGTGTGCCTAGAACTGCCTGGTGGGATTCCCACTCCGCGGAAGTCAAATGGGGTAAGCTTCGACATGGGAGGATCTTATCAAATGCTGACTTGAGGCGGTAGGAGCGAGATCGTGCACCTTTGGTCGTTCTTAACCTCTGGTCATTGTGGGTGATCTCCCCCCCACCCCCAAAGCGTAGACATTCCCATCATCCGTACAATTAAGAGGCAGAGCAACACACGCAGGTATGCATCTATATATATGTGTAACCATGTGGGGTGGTGGGAGAGAAACTCCCGGGGGGGCTTCAACCCAATGGCGTCGCACCAGGCCCCACCACGCCACGTCACTCTTGCGTGCGATCCAAGATGAAGCGCAACGCCTCGTCGACGAGATGTTCATAGAACACCTGCCTGTGGTGATCGACGAGGCGAACGAGGCCATCGCCCCTGAAGAAGAGGTCAATTCCAGGATACTGCACATTGCTGAGATGATCAGTAATGAAATCGCTTACAAAATTGTAGGTTCGTATTTTCTCACTTCTATCTCCGGTCATCTTATTACTTCTCTTGTACTGAAAAAAAAACTCCATCTCCTGCTGGTAGTAAAAGGAGAAGAGTTTGGTCTTGAGTGCCTCTATGGCCATGCTCCTGTTTTGTATTTGACTGGAAGTTTTCTGTACTTCCACAGATATGTTGGTTGGCTTGTGGAGAACCTTCACACAAGTCTCATTTTTATTAACGCTTTGTCCTCCCGCACCTCCAGATCTCTTCGTTTCAATTAAGAGATCACTTTTTTTTAGGTCCATTTTTTTTTCGATTTTCTTTCTTAAGCTTTCCTCATCAGATACGAATACGACAGATGTGGACGTTTGGATTTTTTTACTATTCACTGGTACTCGCTGTACTCGATGGATGCCATTCTCTTGGACGAAGTGCTCATAGACGCGTTCTCCCTTAATCACTGCGACGATGCTTCTGTGGCCGTCCTTGGCATCGTCACTTTCTCCTCTGATGAGGCTGCACTGGAAGTCCTTCAGTTTGCAAAAATGCTCATACATGCTGAGCAGGTCGTTGCAGAACAGCTTGGCTTCGAGGCCCCCCACGCCGGGGGTGATCTGAGGGGGTGGGGAGGGCACATAATGGTAGGCATAGATAGACGCTGGGGAGGGCACATAATGGTAGGCATAGATAGACGCTATGGAGGAGACTTAATGCGTAGGCATACATGTCGGTGAGGACATTTTTTGAAAGCACGAGTGCCCCACCTCCACCTTCACCTCTTCCGTGTCCAAGTGATGCTCCGTGTTGACGACGCTCTTGTAGAAGTCAAGCACATCCTGCAGCAGCATGGTTCCCACATCTTGGATGGTACGAAGGAGCTGCCTGATATCATCGTCTGCGTCGATAAGGGAGGAGGACTGCACCTGCTGGATGGTGTTGTCCGGGTTGTGCCCCCCGTCGATGAGGCCACTCTCCTGGAAGAGCTCCGCATACACATCTAAGTCGTCATGGAGAGTCTTCAATATTTTGGACCGTTCCTGAATTTTGGTAATCTTCTGATGGGTTCTGCCATCCCCTGTCCTTAAAACGGTTCTTTTGGCTAGTTGTATGAGGAGCTTCTGTTGACGGTTCGTTAGTTCGGTCGGGATGGAAGAGAAGAATCTGCTGTTGCTCCGCGGGAGGAAGTACCTGGATGCAGTGCTCAGTGGCTTGCTCATTGGGTTACTCGATCGGGGGGGTCACGGGGAGGAACTGCCTCCTTATGCATGCTGCGATGTGCTGCAGGGGGGGGCGGCGGAGGGGAAGAAGTAGAAGGGGAGGAAGAAGTAGAAAAAGAAGTAGAAGAAGAACTAGAAGAAGAATGAGAAGAACTCATGTCAGTTTTCCCATTACTTCTCCGCCCTTACACATGAATCGCGGGGCGCTCGAAGGATGGCTTACCTCCAGGATGGAGAGAAAGATGGCCTGACTTGGAAAGGAGTTCTTGGGCTCTGCACAGAGGAAATGACCTTATCTCGTGTGCGTAGCTCCTCCAGGGAGGGGAATACCGGGGTGGCCAACGAGTAAGTCATCGCGGTAACCCTTCCGTTTAGAGCTTTTCCTCTGTTTGGAGGCGAGTTCACTCGTCGGTGCAGTTCGGCACGGGTCAGCCCAGTTCGACACACTTATGACTCCCACGTGTAGTTTCTTAGTTTTTTTTTTTTTTTTTTCTTTACTTGGCTTCCAGAGGATCTCCCCGTGGGTCCCCCAGGCAACGGCCCTCGTGCGACACATCCAGCTTGACACGTATTGCCTGACCATTGGGGGGCAGATCCACGCGACGGGGAGGTTGGAAAAATAAATGAGGACGTTATGTTGGTAGCCTAGGAAGAAGGGTCCGGCGGGTTTCCTTCCTGGGGCTTTCACTTCCGGAGTGGTCCTCGCCCGGAGGGTGTTTTCGCGGGTCGTCTCGTTTATCTGAGATGGAGGGCGGCGAAGCGGTAAGGCGGTGAATCGCCAAAGCGGTGGAGTGTAATTGGGCAGATGTGGTGCGGGATGGCTCCTTCTAGTGCTCCGAGCATACGCACCAGACAAAGATACGAGTGGTAAATGGCCAAGCAGGAAATCATCGTGAAGAAGAAAAACAGCACGAGGAGGAGCACCACCAGCCAGGCAAAGAACCACCTGAGAAGCGGCAGATGTGGAGGAACGGATAACCAAATGGGACATCGAAATGGGACATCCAAATGGGCGCTTTAGCTTTTCATGGGAAGAGGCCTCCACAGAGAGACAACACCCCCCGGTGCTGGTCTCATCTGGGCGGCAACCACGCCGTGTGTATGTCCCTCCTTGCATTGCTCCTCCCCTTGCTCCACCCATTCCTCTTACGTATGCACCTCGCCTCAAACGAACCCATTTTCTCCAAAGAGCATCCCTAAGAGGACCCTGGAGATTAACCTCAGTGCGTGAAAAACCGTCATGGCTTCAAAGACGAGGTACACTAAGTAAGAGGCTCTGTTGTTTTCTGCAACGCAGTTATTAATCCATGGACAGTGGTGATCGAATGTGCGGACGCACCTGTGGCAGGCGTTGCAATGCTTACTCCGCAGAATCTGCCGATGGGGTACGAGAAAGGGTAATAAGAAGGAGGGTCATAAGAAAGAGGCTCATAAGAAAGAGACTCATAAGAAAGAGGATTCATTTGATTTGTGGGTAGGATACACTGTAAGCGCAGCGGTAAAGAAAAGGAGACTATACTAACAGCGGGGACCCTCCTAGGAACCGCCTCGAGAGAAACCACGGTAAGAGGTGTCACCGTAAAAGTCGGCACCTTCAGAGTTGCCGCCGCAGGAGTTGCCACCCTTCGCTTACCTGCACAACGCCGCACACATAGCAGTAAGAGAGTGGCGTACCATACTGGTACATCTCACCACCGCGCACGCGAAAGATTGTAGACGGCTTCATTTTAACATCCATGGAGCATATGATTGTCGTGCCTTTACGTGGATCCCTTATCGTTTTCTTCACGTAAGTTGATCCCGCATGGTACTCTCCAGCGTTGCATCCCACGTGGTGTAGTTGTGTCACAGAAAGAAGAGAAAGCACAGAGAGAACAGAAAGGGGTTTGTACTTGGAGGGGCCCCTCTCATTCACTCTTGCTCTGATCCCAATGGGGGTAATCAGACGGAGGTTATACCAGGGGGGGCTTCTCAATCGGGGGGTTCTCAATTGGAGGCTTCCCAATCGGAGGTGAACTCTTCGCCCGGCTTGGGGATGAGACTTCTCTTCAAATTTGACGACCTCTCTTCTGCTCTCTCGACATGCGTCCCTCGTTTGGTTTGTGGAGGAGAGGAAATCCTCATCGGGTTGGTCCAGGCTGTGTGGGAGGTTTTGGCGCTTGTCTGGGCGGTCTCGGTCGTCTCGGTGGACGCATCGCATGGTGGCACCCTTCTGTCTTTTCCGTACTCTCCTCTCTGTAATGACTCTGCTGTAGTCCTTGTGGTGAATAATCGTTAGGCTGTCCAGCTCGCCTGCATTTGGGAGAAGTGGCGGGATGAGTCCTCAATGCAAGTTTCTCTAGAAGGCTACTATGCTGATAAGAAAGAAAAAAAAAATGTCCACTCGGTTAGACATATGAGGTTGGGATAGAAACCCAACAAAACATACACCTGATAGTTTGTCTTCCCTCATGGGATATACCACCACCACCCCTCTCTCCTCTTGTCTAACCATCGGTACTGACTGTCTCGGAGGACAACGAATCCGATGATGTTATTTCATCATGTGTGATGGAAGAAGCTTTTGGTACATCTTTCCTTTTGTCATGTTCCCCGGTGCGTTCACTTAAGGTAGCTTTGAATGCAGCTCTCTCATCATTGGGTACGTATGCTAGGGGGCAACATTTTAGATAACCGCTGCGAGGGGAGAAGGAAGAGCGTTTTGGGAGGGCCATATGGTAAGCAAGAGGGGTGGAAGATGCACTTGACACGATACCGTTTTGAAGAAGATCGTTCGATTAGCTGCTCTCTCCTCTCGCTCGGTCTGGTTCGTACGGGTCGCACAGGGATGAGATGGCATAGAGCAGGAAGGATGCGGCGTAGAGGAAGAAGAAGCAGGTTCGCCCGTCGTCGAGAAGCTGTCCCGTGCGCACCAAATGAGTCAGGGTGGCTAGGACGGCGAGCTTAAGCGATACGACCGCGAAAGGTAGGAGGTTCTTCATCGTGAGGGGTGGATTGAGCAAGAGGATCTTGCGAAGGACACTCCTGTGTGTGTAGTCAACGTTTAGGGCTGAGAAAAAAGTCCCCCTGAGACACCATTTTGATTTGCTTTCCCCTTTTTCCCCCTTCTCACGTGAAGCTATGATTTAGCAGGTTGGTGTGCATGCGGCGAAGGGGGCGTGTGCGTGAGTGGCCGAATGGCAGCATGACAGCATGCCTGGCATATAAGCATCCGTGACGCATTATTCATTCATTGGATCGCCCGTTCATTGAATCATTCATTCACTGAATCGTTCATTCATTTATTTTTTTATTTATTATTTTTATTTTTTTTTCCCCTTGGGGAGAGTTCATTTGGAAGCGTTGGTCCAGGCGGCATGTTCAGCCTTGGTCGCGCGGGCTACACCGCTGCGCAGGAGGTGTGCAATGGGGCAGCAACAAAAAAAAAAAAAGGAAGCAAGGGGAGCGGCAAGAGGAGCGGTAAGGGGGCTGACTAGGGAGTCAAACGGGGCCGTAATATGCGCAACGAAGGGAGGACCGCGTGCAGCCCCCATCAGTCCGCCCTCTTAAAAAATTGCGCCTCGGTGGCGGCGATCCCTTGTCTGACAGGCTCATTCTCCTCGTACTCGAGGCACCTGGATGTCTTTTCGTTCTTCGTTATCATGAATCTGTGAAGGGGGGGAAGTGGTGCACGGAAGAAGCGATGAACGGGGCAGGCGATGGACGGGGAAGGCGATGGACGGGGAAGGCGATGGACGGGGCAGGCGATGGACGGGGCAGGCGATGGACGGGGGAAGCAATAAACAGGAGATGCGATAAACCGGGGAAGCGGTTTGCACGGGAGCTTCTCTCCGACGCGCTCATCGGACGAACCTCAAGACGGCGTCCTGCAAAGAAAGCTTCCTTTTAATTTCGTGAATCAACGAGGGGTACATTTGAAAGGAAAACAAGACATAGTAAGCCTCCATCTGTTTCTTGATTGGCCTGACTAATCTCCTCTTCCCTAGATAAACGGCTTTAAATTTTTCTCCATCGACGAGCTTCAGCTCATACATATATTCTGCAATTTTCTTTTTAATCTCACTTATGGTGTAATTACAGGAGAAGAGGAGGTCGACGTTGTAGCTGCTTTGGGGAGACAATACAGATTTGAAGATGTTTATTGGACCTTTGTGTGTGACCTTCTTGAATCGCCGGAGTAGTAGTTTGTAGATGTAATCATTTAGGGACCCCCTGAGTTGGAAGTGGGTACGTCGTCCTCTTCCTTGGGTTGCAATAGGGCATGCCGTGTGGTGTGCCGTGTTGGGGTAGCTGCTCCGGTTGCTAACTCGACCGACCCGTGCTGCGATGAATGCCCACCCCCCTGCCGCTCCTATTAGATGACGCACGGGGGAGACTCCCAGGGCCGCGCGATGATGGGGTCGGCGAGCGAAAAGGGGGGTTTGCAAGGTGGTGATGAAGGCGGCGAGGAGAAGTGAAAGGGGGCGCATAGGAGGTGGTAGCGGTGGGGAAGCGGTGAAGAAGAGGTGAGGAAGCGGTGAAGAAGCGGTGATGAAGCGATGAGGAAGGCGCGCGAGGATGACAGAAAAAAAAAAAAAAAACACAGAAAAGGCTACAGTGAAGTGAACAAGCGAGAGGAAATTAACCTGCGGGAGGCATGAGGAGGTAAGTTCTTGCATCACAGTTTCCTCTTGGCAGGCCCGGTGCGGCACGGTGTTTACGGCGGCTCACCGCGCATACAGAAACGGTGCAAAGAGCTCCGCATTTTTTAAGTGATACAATTTTAGCCGCTGCGATAACATCCGAATAAGGCGCAGGTCCTTGATGTGCACCCCTAGGAGTTCCCCTCGCGGACCTGCCACTGCCGCTGCCTGGTTCGCGCGGATCTCGGCAGGGAGCTTCCCGTGGAGCAGTGCCAAATACTCGTTAAGGTAGTCGGGCATGTGGCCCACCTTGCAGTGGCAGAGGATTAAACTGACCCACTCTGAAACAGTGAAACAATCTCGGAGGTTCTTCGTTCGCTTAATGAGAAGGTACAGAGCGTCGAAGAGGTGGAGACAACAGGCTTCGTACAAGGGAGGGTAGTCATCACCGAAGAGGGGGACGCACATGCTCTTCATTAGCTTAACTGCGACGTTTAATATGTTGAGGGTGTTGCGAAGAAATGGCTTCTTCTCACCTCGGGTGAGCTCTCCGATGAGTGACATGAACCAACTGGATGGTCTTCTCACCTTCGAATAAACGGCTTGCATCTCTTCTTGGATAATGGAAAGGGCAGTAGTGCCGTCCGATAATACGTGTGGAGTGTTGCCCCGTTGGATTACTAGCATTTTTTGGAACCCCTCAGAGGAGATAAGCACATCATAGAACTCATGAAGAGTCTTAGTGAAATCAACCTGATGGGGGACAACCTCCTCTTTGGTCTTTCCCTGCCATGGGGACTGTGCAGCTTTGTCTTCTGTCTCCATTTTGGAACACACAATGAGGACGCGTATAAGGACATGGTGTAGTATAATAGCGGGAAAATGAGTGGCGAAGAGAGTCTTCCCCCCTTGCTGATTGGTATACTTGAGGAGTGTCTTCAATGTTAAGTGCAAGTCGCACATGTCGTAGGTGGTGATGTGCCTCTGTATCTGTCTGACTAAGTGGAGTAGCATCTCACCCTGAGTTGGGGGTGCCTTCCCCAGGTAGAACACGACCGCCATGATGTCCTTCTTGCTTAGCTGTGTTAAATTATGAGTGGTCGTTTTAGTGAGGAGTCGGGCGAAGGCCTCGTCGTGGAAGTTAAGCTGCGCGTAGAGGCTACACATATTGAAGAGGTGCCTCCGGTTGGCCAGCAGGAGGGGACACTGCGGGGTTTGCGATATGACTAGCGATCTGACTTTCGATCTGACTTTCGATCCATGTGGATACTCACTTTCTGCCGTGTGTACCTCGCTGAATGAGTGCCCACCCGAGGGAGCACCCACACCATTCGCGTCTGTTTCCTTCCACCTCCGCACCACCTCCGCGTTTATCATCCGAATGGGGGGGTCGCGATCGCTCCTTTTCATGGCCCACATCCTCCCTGCGCAGAAGCATCCAAGCAGAGAGACCAAAGTGTTGGTATAAACCAGGGAGGAGTAGAATTTCAAAATGAAGTGCCAAAAATGGTAGTACACAGAAAGGGCACTAACGAGGAAGTCTCTTCGGGGCAACCTTTCTCCATTTATGACATTTAGGAGGAGCCTAAAAGATAAGACATGACTGTAGATCCTCCTGTTAAAGTGATCACAGGTGATAGAATCGCTAGCTAGTATTTTCAACGACAGCGTCTTTAAGCAGCTCACGATGTCCATAACGTTTTGACTTAAAACAAAATCCATGTTTATTTTGTCCGACTTGTATAGTTTGGAGAACTCATCGGGGAAGTAACTCCACATGAAGAGAAAGGGGCAACTCCCATTGGGGGAACTCCCATGGGGTGAACTCCCATTGGGGGAAGTAGCATTGGATGAGTTCCCTTCTCGGTAAGCATAGGATGTTGGTCCTTTTTGCACATTCTGAGAGGGGACTCCTCCCAGATGTGCCTCTTCACTACATATGTGTTGTCGTCTGTTTGAGGAGGCCTGTCCCCCTTGTGAAGACTCCTCCCACTTTGGTCTCCAAAACAGGTGGAGGTAAATGTGCACGGTGGCTGTGCTTAGCGTGCGGCGGAGGTGGTCGCGGCTAATGGGGTATCCATCGTCAGGATGTTCCTCAGCGGGTTTAGAAGCCGATTTCGCAGCCGATTTCGCAGCATCTTCCTGAGCAGCCTCTTTTGGGAACCCCCTCCCCCGGAGGTCGAAGCGGTTTAGAGCCTCCGCGTACTTCTTCACAAACAGCGCGATACTAACAAAGTGGTGCACGTCCAAGTGCACCTCCGAGTAGAATCGCCCGATTCGGTTCAAGTCCATGCGGTTCAGATCGATATGCCTAGTTACCACGACCCCTGGGTGGGGCTCCGCCTCGACATGACGATGTTTATCTGTCCGGTGATGCCCCTCCTTGACAGGACGATGATTACCCTCAGGGTGACGCTCCGCAGGGGGCCTTACACGAAGTGCGGTTGAGGCGAAGAGGTAATTAACCACCTCCAGGTAGAACACGCTCAGCAGATCGATCTCTTCATTGGAGCTTCTTAGTCTTATATAATGCTTGTTAATCACTGTAAGAACTTCCACCAACATTTGGCTGCCTACGTGTCTGTTGGAAGGGTCGTTTTGAGTTTTCCTGACCCCCCATTGGGTGGGTGTCCCTTCTGGGACTTGACCCCTTTGGCCGCCCCTCCCAACATGGCTTAGGTACCTCCTATTCAGTTGGACAAAGGAATTGACCACTCTGGAGAGGAGCTCCCTGCAGTGGTTCTCCTGCCCGTCGTAGTCGAGCAGGCACAGCGCATTCAGCAGGTATGTGCAGCTTCGGATGGTTTCCTCTGAAGGGTCCCCCTTTGCATGGAACTGCTTCAAGAGGGCTTCGACGAAGGAGCGCACGTGCAGCTGGCTCGTTCGCGAAAAGTGGTGCAGCGCAGTCAGCGACGTGGTTGCCGTAGTTGACGCAGTTCGCGCAGTTCGCGGCGTCGATAACTGCGTGCGTGTCAGCGGAGGAGATCCCTTTCCAGCCTGGGTCTGGCCATCTCTCCTCCCGTGCTGCTTATGAACCAGACGTCTCACCTGGTCGCTCAAGTCATTCAGGAAGGAACACAGCGCTGACAGAGGGTACACAACATCGTCGTCGCCCAAGTGCCCATCACGCTGCCTTTCCAAAATGATGTTCAAAATCTGTTTCACTTTGTTTTCCCTTTTTCTTTTAACTATGTTGTTGATGCAGTTTAAAAAAAAATGTTTCATCGTATGGTTGAATGCAGAGTCCGCGTGGTGTATGCAAAGTGGGGGATGCAGGGAGGCGCTCACACTGGGTTTGGCACGCTTCTTGGCAGGATCCCTGGCACCCCCCTTCGCACTGGCATTACCACTCGCATGGTTAAAACTGGCACAAGTAAACTTTTCACGTGAACTCTCTTTTTTTTTCACTAAGGAATATATTTACTTCGCTTCAACTTTGCACGGTCAGGCGCCAAAGGGGGTCGCGCAAAGAGGGGTACGAAAACGGGGCACGCAACTGGGGCACGCAACTGGGGCACGCAAATGGGGCATGCGAACGTGTAACACAAAGGGGTCGCCCAAACGGGTCGCGCAAATTTCCACGTCGACGAGTCTCCCGCTGCGTGCCGGGCGACTCTTGCCCGCCTTGCGCTCAGCTGGAAAAGAGCTGCAGGATGCTGCTGAACCCGTTGTTGTGGCAGATCTGCATGAACACGGGGTTGTACAGGTTTTGCTTCAGTTCCAGGTTGATGTTGACGTCGCGCAGGACCTGCGGGGGGGGGGGGCGGCGGAAAGGAGGTTATCCGTAAAGAGGTGATCCAAACGTTGCACATAAGTGGGCGCATCAGCACCCGCTTCTACACTCGCCTGCTCCTCCTCACCGTTTCGTTAATATTATCGCTGTTAATCATCTGCAGCTTGACGTAGGTGACCTCGAAGTTCTTATCTAGCTCGTCTTTCTGAACATCCTGATGATGGACTTTGGTCTTCTTCAAAACGAGTTCGTTGTTTGTGATGTTTTGATTGAGGAGACTCAGTATATCCACGACGAAGGGCTCTCCTCGTATCTTCTCATTGCTCATTATCTTGGTCAAGGCGAGGAAGATGATGATCTTTTCGTTCACATTGATGAGCTTGTCCAGGATGGGCATATAGAGATTCTTCAGCACGTTGAAGATGAGGCCTGCGGTGGGGGAGCGGCGAGGATGGGAGGTGGCTATGATAGGAGGTGGCTTAGATGGGAGGTGGATTCTCATCCCTGTAAGCGCGTTTAGGCGCCGTGTGCCGCGTTAATGACCCGGCGAGCCGGTACACAACTGTTCCGCAGATGCTCCGCGGCGGTGCTAGGCCAGATGGCGACGATGCACTCACCCGCGTGTATCTGCTCCACCGTGTCGACGAAGAGGGACACGTCCGTCTTGAGGACCAACACAGAGAGGGCGTGCACGACTTTAATCTTGATGATGTCATTCTTGTATTGCTGCAGAAACGTGAAGAGTAAGACAAAAAGGGGCTTCAAGAACGTTTTATAGGCTTCCACAGGGAGGTACGTAAAAATGATGAGGATGATTTGAAACGAATCCGTTGAGAGCTTCTTATTAGACAAGCAGTAATGGTAAATATTAAACAATTGCTGCATGTTGCTCTTAATGATTTCCTCAAAGAGGTGGTGTTTTTTAAAAAAACTACGTAATACGCAAATTATTCCATTCACATTGCCAACGGTGCTTTTCCATAAATCCATCTCGTATAGGTTACTCAATATCTTCATGTGAATCTTCTGGATAGTAAATGTATTGTCTACTATGATGGAGAGAATCTGAAATATGTAAGGTATAAAATCGTGTACATACATCTGTAGAATCTGAGAGAACGTGGAGATAACGACTTCCTCCACTTGCTGAATGTTATTGATATTTTGCGATTTGTATATTAAGGAGATGATAAGAGTGAGGAGCTCAAATAGGTAGTGATTAAAAAGAGGATTATGGGAATCGTTAATAATCGTTTTGATGGTGTTATCCAGGATGATTAGAAGGGGGAGATATAGATTGGCTAGCTTCTCCGGGCAGAGGAGGAAGATTCTCATAATAGTAATGAGGATGTATTCATTTAAAACCTTCACGTGGACATGATACTTGAGGAGAAACAACAACCTGGTGAGCGTCTTCGATAAAGAGTTGGTGAAGATGGCTTGCACGAGGTCGCTAGTGATCTGCTGATTTAAAATGCGATTCATGCAAAGACAAGCGTAGCAGTATATCATAACTTTGTCCGTGAAGAGCAGGTGGTGTAGGAAGGTGAACACGTCCAATGCGTTGTTCGACCCGATGCAGAGGCTTCTATTGTTCAGGAGGAACTTGAGGATGGAGAGGAGGTAAATGGTATTTTTTTTACTGAACAGGTCTTCATTGGAGAGCCACACGGATTTGTGTTGATTAGCGGCGGAGCCTCCTTGTACGCGTTGTCCCACTCCGGCGTGTGATACTCCCGTGTGTGCTACCCCACTGGCGGAGTTCGTTCCGGGCCGACTGGAGAAGTCGTAATCGTGGATGCCGTAGCAGAGGGCGTCCACATCCGGGTACTTCATCTTCGCCGTCATAACGAATTCTTTAAGAATATGTTGCACGTTTTGCTCATAAAAGTTTTGTGCCAAGTTTACCTGACCAAGACAGGTGATTAGTTGTATTTTGTACTCTAAATTGCAGGCCTCGTAAAAGGGGTCATTTTTATCAATCCCGACATGGTGGGGGGTTCCAAACTGGTTCTGATTTTGGCTTTGGTTTTGCATCTGCGTGGAGTTGGAGGCGCCTGTCGAAATCCCTCCTCCTGCCGCTGCTCCTGCTGCGCCTCCTCCTTCATTGGACGACGTGGCAGAAGGGCTAAAGAACATGAGAGAGTCCCTTGCGAAGATCCTAACCTCCAGCATGGGAAAGCAAGCGTCGAAGTAGTTATCACAGAGTGTTTTCAAAAAATAGGTAGCCGCGGATCGGACGGAAAAGGAGTTAACCTTGTTTAGGTCATTCCTAAAGTAGTCCAGATCAGCATCTAGGATTTCCTCTATATCGATTCGTTTCAGTCGGATGTGATGTAGAACCCGTTCGATAATTTTGTGCAGAAACTGCTTATCTTTGTATGGGTTCGATTCATTTTTGTTCAGGTTCATGTGATGAATGAGCTTGATGGTGGAAGCAAGGCAGTTGTAATTGTGACACAACAAATTCCTGTCATTCTCGGAGTAGAGGACCTGGGTCAGAGAGAACACGAGTTTCACGATGTATTTCTTGGACTCATCTTGATATCTCTCCGAAATGATTTTGATAACGTCCACTAACATCACTTTGCACTTTAGAACGTTTTGCAGAAAGTTGGAGTTCAGCTTGGACAATTCTTGCGGGGTTAGTTGCGGCGGGGCGAACTGAGCAGAGCGGCTATGCGGTGGGGAGGAGGAAATGGAGGCCGCGCCGTAGGAGGAAGTCCCACCCGCATTGTAGGACGCGCCGCCTTGGCCGTACAACACCTCCATGCAGCGGACGAAATTTCCCACCATGCCAATATCGTAGAGAAGCATGTTGTTAAAGATGTTAAAGAGGACTTCAAAGTTGTCCTCAAAGTACTCAGGAAGGTCCACTCCAATGATAGCATAAAATATTTTCAAATATACGTGCATGTTTTGTAGGAGATAGTTCATGGCTAGGAAGCAGTTACTTATCTGGAGGTACACTTGGCTGGGTTTCAGTTCTGTTCTTCCTCCTGCAAGCAGCGCGTTCGGACCCCCCCCTGCCACGTTTAACTTCTCTGCAAGGTACCCACTACTCTCAGAGAACTTCCCATACAGATACACGAAGTAGAGAGTAAGGGGAAATTCAATGTGAGTGAGGATGATCTTCAAATCATACTTAGACACATAGTCATTGTTTTTGTATTTTTTTACAATCTTTCTGACTATTTTCATGGCGATGAACTTTTTTCGAAGGAGGGTAGTGTTTATGTGATGATTGGAAGAGTGTGCCATGGCCGTGGCGAGTGGCACGAGCTTTACATTCCCGTTGTAGTCATTAGCGATGGTTCCCTTTCCTGGGAAATCGAATTGTGGACTTCCCATCCCGCCGCCAACCACGTTAACAGCATTGTCTACACTAACCGCGCTAACCACGTTAACTACGCTAAGCATATTGGGGAGACCAGCCAGGCCACCCCCAGGCAATCCGTACAGGGTGCAATCGCTGAGCAGGAACAAGCTGTGCCTGTCGTTCGTCTTGTATACTCTCTTAGTATTGTTTATATAGTTAACAATGTCATCATTGAGAGACTTGTTTCGACAACAAATGACGTTTTTAATCTCCTCCATATTTGACACAAACTTTGGATACTGAACGAAGAAGTTGTCCTGGGTTAGGCCCTCCATTATTTCCTTGTTCCTTACGTACAGCATGATACAATCGATGATCTTTGCTGTGTCGTCCACCTTCTTCCTCTCATCGCTGTGCAGTAGCTGCACCACGCTGTCTGCTCCGCCATCGCTAATGTAGAGAGTGATCAAATAAAACAGGAGGTAATCATAATCGTCACAGATGCTAAACTTGAACAAGTAAAGTAAGATCTCATAGAAATATCGGTCCAGACTTTGTATGTCTTCATTGTTCACGTCCAGAAGGAAGTGCATGCAGAAGTGCTTGATCTGTATGCTCAAGTCTGGACTCAGCTCTAGACTCTCCAGGTTACTGTGGACGCTTTTTTTTACGAAGTTTTTTATGCTTATCAGGACGGCTATTTTTACATTCCTGTTTAGCACTTCATCGTAGAGGTTTTTTTTCTGGTTTTTCTCATCATATGGGTACATGACAAACTTGAGGAGCAGCCGGATGTAGCTCTCCCGATTGGGGTCCTCGTACAGCGCCGTGATCTTCGCCTCGCTCTGCTTTATGTCCTCGAAGTTGCTCGACACGCTCCGCGCGAACACCGTCAGGAGCTCTCTCTCGAGTTTCTCCTCCATTGCGAGACAAGCGGCGTTAGTAGAATTAGCCAGGTTAGGAGCGTCTGCGCAGTCAGAGGTGTAGGCGGTAGTGGAAGTGCCCGTTGCGGTTGCTCTCTCGCGTAGCTCTTCCGGCCGCGCGGGTTGCTCACTAAGACGATTGCTTCGGGTGTTATCTTGCAATGATAACCTGGGGTGACTACCTCAACTACCTCAGGTGATACGTTGCGGGGCTACGTTCTGGGGGTACGTTCCGGGGGTGTACTACCCCTTAGCTCCCGCTCGGCCACACACAAGCGCGCGCCCGCGAATGCATGTTACGCGTCCCTCCGGGGGGCGGCGGAAGCGCGGGGGAGAATCAACGATGGGAAGAAGCAACGAGGGGAAGAAGTAAAGAGGCGAAGAAGTTGCGAAGAAGTAAAGAGGGGAAGAAGAAGCAACAAAGGGACGAACTGCAAAGGCGAGAAAAAAAAAAAAAGTTTCCCAAGAGGGATCCTCTTTTTATGCATAAAAGGATTACCACACTTTGTTCATTTTGTATGAAAAATGGGACTAGCTTTTTTTTTTCCGTTTTTATTTCCTTTTTTTTTGCCTTTTTTTTTTCTTCTTTTTTGCCTGAACAGGTCATACTTTTTTTTTACGTGCCCTATGGCGTGAGTGGGCAAGGCGGCAATTGGAGGGAAGCGAGTTGCGAGTCCCTATTCGCGAACAGTGAAGAGAGTATAAGAAGGAAACACCGATGGGGGAGGAGAAAGAAAAAGTCACCAGTGGGTACGTGCACAAATTGGTTATTGGGGAAAACTCCGAAGGGCGGGGGTGCTCCAAACTGGTAACCGACCTTTGGGCTAAAATGCGGAGGCGCTGGGGAAACAGTGATGATGCATTTTCCCATTGATGGGCATACTGTTCCTGAGCGACGATCCAACTTTAACATGTTTGAAGTGAACAGGTGAGGTGTGTTTTCTGTGCTGGGTTTACGCCCATTGGGTGTGGGGGATTGAGAAAAGGAGAGTGACCCCCCTTTGGGAACACCTCGTAAAGCGCCAAACAGTTTCATTCGCGTAAGTTGGGTGAACATTTTTTTTTTTCTTTTTTTTTTTTCTCCTCCTCCCAAATGTACGTGAAATTTCGCCACAAAAGTAGCGTTAGAGCTTCCCTTTCCGTTTCCCCTTTTTAAAAGTCATGCGGTTCGACGATGCATGTATTCATAAAGGTATGTCCACGCAGGTACCTTCGCGAATTGCAACCGTGGGGAGGGAGTGTCCCCGGCTTGAGTGAATGCGTCCAGCAGAGAGGTGACTAGATTGAGCCTTAGAGAGCAGCGAATGAAGTAGAGTACAGACGTGGGTGTGTCAGGCGCGCTAGGGGTGCGGACAATGCGGAGGATACGGAGGATGCCGAGCGGGGTGATCTACATCCGTGTCTACCGGAGAACCCTCTCATGAACGAACGCTACGAGCGAATCGACGCGCAGAGGGGAGCCTACTCAGGAAAGTTGCCCATCATACAATAACTTCATCCTTAATTCTGCATAAACGGGGTGCGCTGCGCGGATGTTTACCTCTGGGCAAGGCAACCAACGAGTTGATGAGGCAGTCAGGGGGGGGAAGAAACAGAAGGGGAGGCAGCAAAGGAAGGAGATGCAGGGGACGTACGGCCGGATACGCCCCCATTTGTCACTTCCTGGGGATGGTAAAACTCTCGGACAGGTTCGCCAAATGAATGTTGCGACTCTTCTGATTCATGTACTGGAAGAGGCAGTCGAGGAATCGCGCAATCGTTTCGTCTTTCTGGTGTTTTTTTATGGCAAGTAGTGGGTTCTTCAAATAGTCTCCCATAAAGGTTGAGACTTTCTCACTTTCTACGAGTGTCTTAAAATGCGAGTTGGTGCTGATGATTGCACTAATTTCGTCGCTGTTTAAAATGACGTTGCTGTACTTTTGGGCCACGTAATTAGTGGCCTCCTCTTTCTTCTCCTTCATATGTTCCTTTCTTTGTTTGGCCTCTTCGTATGGGCTTGGACCCGTCTGCTTCATGATCATCTTGCTGGGCTGATTACTCCCTTGGGGTGGCTGAAGTTTCAATTCATTATGGGGTCGTTCCTTCGCTTCATCCTGGCTTCTTCTCTTGTCCGTTTTTTTTATTTTCTCCAGTGGGGGGGGAAGGATGTCAAAGGTGGGGCCCTTCTTCCCGTCCATTTTTGCATAAGGGGGGTAGTCGATTCGAGAAATTCCAGCGATTCGAGACATTCCAGCGGTTCAGGCCATTCGAGCAATTCAGGTGATCCGCTTTGCGTTGTGGGAAGGCCGGAGGGATCGCGGCGGACTCCTCGTTTGGCGTGCACCCCGTGCAACCACTGTGCAGCTGCCCTTGTTAACAACGCACATGCAGGGCTGTTTAGCCCGACGCGAGCTATCGCGCTAATGGGTGAGGCCCTCCACCGACCGACGCCCCCCCAAAATGAGTTTTCTCTATGGCTCCTCTAATATGGTGGTTGACGCCGAAGTGGACAGCACCTGCCACTACGATGAGACACTCCCCTTCCGTGAGAAAATTGCGTTTCTTCTCGGTGAGCCCAAGTTGGGACTTCTTCATTAGGTGTTCCTACTCCAGTGGTTATACTGCCTCGAGTGGGGGAAGCCTCCACAGTGAAGGAGAAAAAAAAAAAAAAAAAAAAA